CATGAGTCAATTGAAATGACCTAAGAAGACGTGCCCAAAGCTGTGTCAATCCATATTCCCTATTGGACGCCGATTTTTCCCTATTTCTTCATATAGAATATTATCGATCACTATGCCATATGAATAAAAGCTGACAAAACAAATTAATAAAGCAACTGCCCAGCCAGTCCCATTATCAAAAGAAGTGTTTGTATAAACTAACAGCCCAGTTGACTCCTAAGTCATGATTATTTTCTACCTTTTTTTTTGTGTATACATTCAGCCTACAGGCTCGAAGGGAGGGTGGGAGGCACATATTCATATACACACTGCTATTTTTCTTGTCGATCTCTCCTTGTAAATCTACACTTCCCTATTGTGTCGTTTAGTTTGAATTTCATGCTTTTTCAAAAGTTGTTATCTTATTCAATTCTCTCATTTATAGCAACAAATCATTACATGGCCTTGTTTGGTAATTAGCGGTTAGCTGATAGCTGTTAGCTGATTACATTAACTGTTTTGACCAACAGATTGTGTTAGCTGTTTTGACCAGATGATTGTGTTAGCGGTTTGTAGAAGAGTGTTTGGTAAAATTAGCTATTTCTAATTAGCTGTTAACATGTAAAATTACTTATAAGGACATCAACATAATTTATCATTCATATTTATGTTGAACTTAAAATTTTTTAAGAAATAAAAATAATTAATATTTAAATACTTATTAAAGTGATTTAAAATATAATAATAATAAAAAATATATTTCTTAACTGAGTAAATAATTTCACCTCATATAAACAAACCTAATAAGAAGTCATCACTATTTAAAATAAATAAATAAGTAATATCTAAGTAACTAAAAAGTTCTCATTTACATCTAAGGTAACTAAAATTATACATGTTTAAAATTTTATAAAGTAGTTGGTAAAATTAGTTGTTAAGTATTATACTAGAATTAGTTGGAATGACATTTATAAATATTTTTCTTATGTTCATTAATTATAGTTTTGAAAAAATAAATATTATTTATATTTTTAAATATGAAAATTGTGATATATATTTTATTGCTATAGGTTTGGATAAAAAGTACGAGGAGTGCACAAGTTTTGATTAAACATGACATTTTCTATAATTGTGAGATTGAAGAGAGTGTTGTCTAGTTTATGTCCATGTGGTATAAGTGAGGGCAATAAAGACTTGGGCCCCGTTTGGTAGATAGCGGATTGAAGATAAATTAGTAGATTGGACTTAATTGAGAGGTTTGACCCGTCAAATCCGCTATTGAGCTTGTTTGGTAAATAGCTTATCTGATAAGTTTTTTGAGCCCAAAACTCTAATTTAGAAAAAACTCATTAGAGCAGCTTTTTGGGATAGAGGATTCAAAAAAAATCATTTACTTGGAACTTTTTAATTTGTCTTATTTATTTTACAATCTACATTAGTTTATGGTGCTGGTAAATAATAATATGTCATCCATATGATTAATTTATTAGAAAAATATAAAATTCATAACTTCTTCATCAAGTGTTAGTAAATTTTAAAAAAAATAATATATTTATAAATTACCAACTAAAGAATATTAAATGTTTTAATATATTATTATTAAAAGAATACACCCAAATAATAAAATGTCCTTATTGGTCATTTTGTAATGTCAAACAGCTATAAACTTTCAGTTATTTACCACACTTATTTAAAAACCTCTAATGCAGTCCGCTGGTCAAATCAGCTAATATAATCCGCTATCCGCTGATCACCAAATAAGGCCTTGTTTTTTTTTTCTTGAACCGCCAACATAAACGCTAGCAAAAGCAGCGTTTCCAAATTAGCTGATTGGGCTAAAAAAGCTAATTGTAAAAGCTGTTTACCAAACATATTTTTTAACTGATTGTAAAAAGTCAAACAACTAACAGATGAAATAGCTCTTTTTAGGCAAAAAAGCCATTAAACAAACCCAGCCATAATCTCCATCATCTCGCAATTAAGTCGCTCTATTATAGTGATTGATGTCCGAACGTCAACAACCAATTATATGATTTAGCGATCATGTGTGAGGAATCATATCCATCTCAGTGTAAAACAATAGAACTAAATACATTTGACTAATTTTGATTCTCATTAAAAATGAAAAATTGATTTAAATTAAAACAAAACTTTCAATATGCCAACAGTGAAACCAGGCCCGCCAGTTTTTTTCGAACCAAAACCTTTGGTTCCACAATAATGAGCTGGTAACCTGCTTAGTTGGGTCCATAACTAGCGGGCCGGCCGTTGGGCCAGCCCAGATTGGAACTTGCAAGTCCAGCACGTTCTCACTCCGTCCCCACGTGCGATGCCGCAAATGTAACGTACTCAGGAAGCCGCCTCGAAATCCGGTGGCACTGTCGTAAATACGACCAAAACATGAGCCCAATTAGTAATCTGTAAGGGAAATCGCCTCAATTTTTTCTGTATTCGCGCCTCTTTCCTTTTCCCGCTCATCCCTTAAAACCCCATCCTACCCCTCGCCCTCGCTACCCCTCACACTCATTACTCACACTGATATATGTGTATGTTTGTACACTCAGTCTTAAGAAGAAGAAGAAGAAGAAAAGAAGGAATAAGATGTTTTACTCGAACACGTTCTTGGCGAGGAAGGGCCCGTTGGGCACCGTTTGGTGCGCGGCCCATTTGCAGCACAAGCTCAGAAAGCCGCAGTACCTATCCACCAACGTCCCCTCCACCGTTGGTAAGCAATCGACACACACACTCACACACATGTTTATCTGCAATGCCCGTGTTCAATTTATAGAGCATTATTTTTTATTCTTGATTCGTGTTGTTGGGGGATAATTAGAGAATCAGGAGAGCGAGTGGTCCTGTTTTTGTATTTTCCTTTATTTGTGTCGTTTGTTGAGTGCAATTAAATGTTAAAAAATGAATCTTGATTTTATGGGGACAAATTAAAAAATATTGGGTATAGATGAAAAATAAATATGTTGATACATATATACACGTTTGTTTGATTTGCCCGTGTTTGATTTCTAGAGTACTTTTTTATTATTGATTCGCGTTGTTTGCGGGTAATCAAAGGATCAGGAGGCTAAATGATGCTGTTTTTGTATTTTATTTTATTTGTTTTGTTTGTGATTGAAATTGAAGGTAAAATTTCGAATCTTGGTTTGTGGGGTTCAGTTAAAAATAACAGGCGTAAATGAGAAGTTAGAGATCTTGTTCTTTTATTTCTGTTCGGAAATGTTTGTATGTTTGGGTTGGTTATTTATGCATAATCGATACATACTCACACATACGTGTTTTTGCTCTTTTCTAGTGGCACTGTTTTGCTCGTATTATTAATTCTAATGGTACTGTTTTACTCTTCTCCTTCATTTATATAGTTCATTGAGTGAAATCAAAGGTAAAAGAATGAATCTTGATTCGTGGGGTTCAGTTAAATATTATCGGGCATAGATGAGAAGTTGAAAATTTTGATTTTTTCGGGGGAATGTTTATCTGTTTGGATTGGCTATTATTTATGCTGAAAAGTTCAATCTTGGAATAAAGACCTTTTATTTTCTCTCTTCTCTTGCGTTATCAATTTATTTGCCATTTTATGATTATTTTTTCTTTTAACTTATAAGATGCGGATCAGTCATTAAGTGGGTCTCTTTTACCGTCAATTTTTCTTTGGAAAATTTATCTTCCTGTGTAATTATATCTTTTTTATTTCAGTTTTTACAAATCTGATTTCTGAATTTACTAGAAATATGAGTTTCTTTTGCTTTTACTTTCAATGACTTTCTTGCAAGATGTTAATATTCTTCAAAAGATCCTTACTTTGTACTGGAAAAAAAGTAACAGGGTATATGGATTACCAGTCAAAATGTTGTCCTTGTCAATTATGCAGTAATCATGGAACTTAGACAATTTACGCTTAATCTAGTTTTCCTTAAGCTTGGACTTGGTGTGTTTGTTCTGCATCTGTAGTATATGATTCTTGATTGCCTTTTTATACCAACATAATTGTTTGTGATCTTAGTATATTCTTGCATACTTGGTTGTAGTAATCAACCGTTTATCTATAGTTATTAAGGTGTAGCCCGTCATAACCGAATCACTATTGCCTAATCCTATCAGTAAGTCATGGTGCGTCATTGTAATGATGTTTGGTCCTTCATGCAAAGGTTTATTGTTTATATATATATATATATTGCCTGTCTTGGTTGCCAATTTTCAAAGTATACGTCCGTGTGTTTCCTCAATAATTTTAAGAGTTAATTTGAAAAATATACTCGAGTCAAACTTTATGCTGTTTCCTTGATAATTTTGAGGTTAATTTGCAAAATATACTCTCAAGCTATAGTCCAATCGAGGGAAAAACCATCTTCCAAAATCACTTATATCCCTTGATGATTTATCGTTGTCTTGAATTGTATCATAAATAGGATATTTGTCAAGTAAATACAAAGCTCCACAGTTCTTGTGACATTATAAGGGAATCGTGTTTGTAATTTGACAGATATTTACGTTTATTTGTTTTATGAATTAATTGACACTTGATGTAGACCTTCTAATTTACTTCGTCACATTGCCATGTTGCCACTCTTGGTGTAGTTGTACATAATTTCCATGAACATCCATATTCGTATTGTACTATGATATTTTGATATCTTTTTCTTTTTCAAAAAACAAAAAAAAACAAAAAAAAAATAATTATATCTTTCTGCACTTGCTTTGCAGAACGAATAATGTACCCTGAAGTGCCGATTGCACTGAGAATGTCGGGCCATCTTTTGCTTGGAGTCGTGCGGATTTACTCCAAACAAGTTGACTATCTTTACGAAGATTGCAATGAAGTACGAATAATGATCAATAGAGTCTACACAACTGTTGATGTCAATCTTCCACACGATTCGACTCATGCGCAGGTTCAGGCTGTAACATTGCCAGAAAATTTCAATCTCGACACGTTGGAATTAGATGATCATTATAAGGACTGGTATGCAATTTTTTTGTTAAAACCCGACTTGTAATTGTTCTTTATCAAGCTATGTATTTGGAAGAGATTTGAAGGAGTTTGTTATTTTCAGGGGAGAAGATTCTCATATCAAGAGCTGGGATGACATAACTTTGACAGGTTACTAATTTTGTGTCGATAGCTTAGATTATAATATATATATTTACATATTTTAAATTGGCCTCTACATTTTGAATATATCTTTGGTATTCTATGTCACAGAGCAAATCCCAACTGGAAAAGATCCATATATTGTCATCAGTTTCGACGAGGTGCCCATAATTTACGTCCCTTTTATTTCTAATAATTTCATGTTTTTTTTTTCTTAAAAGCTTATTTGCCTAATTTCAATTACTTCTCCATTGAAGCAGAATCCGAGGGATACATCGCAAACGGAAGATAATTTGGAAACCGGCCCGACTCCTATGGACGAAGAGTATGAAATATTTTTCCATTTGTATCAAAGTTTGAATATGCCATATTTCATATCAAGTAAATTATAATTGCATTTTTTATTATGTGTAGTGTGCGTTTAAATGATCCCTCTTCGAGAAACCCAATATCGGCAGATGATATAAATATTGAACACAAAACTCCACAAAAGTCGCATAGTATTGAAATTATGCGTGATGCGGCCCACGATTTCGGTTTCAACAATTCGCCAATACTGCCAGATCGTGCAGCTCCCGACAGATTTCTCGAGGAGCAAATAAATAAAGATGCAGAGACTTTTACACCAGCTACAAAAGAAATGCCTTCGCCCGATGTTCGGTTTTCTTCGTCTCGTAATAATTTTCCTGAAGAAGAAGAAGAAGAAGAAGAAGAAGAAGAAGAAGAAGAAGAAGAAGAAGAAGACGAAGAAGAAGAAGAAGAAAGGCATTCTCTTGGGCAATTGAACTCCTCAACGCCTTTTGGTATGTGCAAGTTTGCAACTTGGGATCATAACATTTTCTTTTTCTTGTACATTATTGGCAAAAGTTTTGAAAATTGTATTTTTTTTGTCATTTTTTTCATTTATTGCAGTCCATCAAACGCCAGTAATGGAAATCCAGCAAAGTCCAGTTTTCGTGCAGCCGAGAGTAAGGAGGAAGAGAAAACAGTTTTTTGATGAGGTCACTGTACTGAGCAACGAGTATGGTTTTCTCATTTCGTTTTTGCCGTTTTCTTTTCCCATATAATGTTTTCAATTAGGAAACTTTTTGATCTTCTTAACAATATGCAATGCAGCTTGAACAATTTATTCATTTATTCATTATGTTTCTGTTCGATTTAGTCTCATCCAAGATGCTCTAAAGCATTTTGTTTTTGCTGTTTCTTTCCCATATATATATATATATATATATGCAATGTTTTCAATTAGGAAACTTTTGATCTTTTTAACAAAATATGCAATGCAGCTTAAAACAGTTTATCATTTATTTCATTGTGTTTCTAATTCGATTTAGGCTCATCCAAGATGCTCTAAAGCACACGAGCGACATCTGTCGGATTAAGAGAAACTGCCCTTCATCGTCTCTTTCCATCTGGAAATACAACAACATGCATCGATTAAGAACGAAAGATAATAATAATTTCGAGCCCTTCATAAATGGTCTGTCGGTATTTATTTCCCATTTGTTCATTCCTTTTATGTATTTTAATGTTGCTTTTTCTATTTTCATCTGAATGAATGAAAGCTTACTATTTCTTCCTCAGGAGCTTGTGACGATTTGCTAGCTGTATATAAAGAAGATGTAATAATCCCTGCCAGATTTCAACTTGACCCCACACAAGAAACCCATCAAGAAATGAACAAAACAAATAGTCACATTGAAATCGAAATTCTTCGTAATAACGAATGCCCCTCACCAGATAGGCATATCTCGCCTTTCTCCACGGCTATTCCTTCTCTGGATGGTAAAATTTTTTTAACTCCAGAAAATTCAGATTTGGGCTTGCCGACATTGGACACGGGCCCAACTCGAAATTTTGATTCGGATATTACGCAAACTCCGGACACATTTGACGAAATTGGGTTCAGAGCCGAGCAAACAGCCCTTTCTGACATTCATGAGCTGGTGCCTTCAGCCGGAGTATGTTTCGTTATATATTTTACGAGTTCAAATCATTTGTTTTTTTGTTTTACTATTATCATATAACAAAATAAAATGAATTCAATTCCATCATCAAGGTAAAAGTGCACATTTTGCCGCTTTCTAATGTACTTTTATGGCTATTGTGTCTGATAATGGTGTGTGCTTCCTTTCATTCTCGATCAGGAGCTCGGTTTTCTCGAACAAGACGATTCTTCTCCAATTGGTAATATTGGCATTTTAATTCACATTTTGATTCGGTGGTCTATTTCTTGTGGAAATTCTTTTAAAATATAAATTCATTTCATTTAACTCGAATAGGATCTCAAGGAACACCCAAAGTTGGAATCTTTACACAGAATCTTGGAACTCCTGAGCTGCACGCATGGTCTTCACGAACAAGGTAAGAATAATAAGATCTTCGTGAAATACTAGATACACCCCTCGGGTTTAAGCTAATCACAGAAAAGCCCCACTTGTGCTTAAGAATCACTACTACCTTTTTTCCACACTTTTTTTTTTTGTTAAAGCCATTTCAGGGTAATTTGTTAAAACAAAAGAATCTAAATGGTGAATTTGTAATCTCCCTTTAATTTAATCTATCTGTATTTGATCTTTTATGTTCGATTGGCTTGTAGGGCCGTGGCTCAGTACTTGCAAAGGCAGTCATCGGTTACCCCTATTGCTGAAAAATCAGATGAATTGCCTGAACTGAGTTTGGACAAGATTCTTCAGGGAAAGCCTCGAAAAGTCTGTACAAGAATGTTCTTCGAAACTTTGGTAAGTTCTATAACAACATTCGAATAGTATCACGAGTAGCAGCTTTACGTACTTTTTAACAAACGAATGTTCTCGAGCAGTTTTTATAACTTTTGCAGGTCTTGAAAACTCATGGACTCGTTGATGCACGACAAGAAAATCCGTATGGCGATATCACTTTGAAAGTGACTCCTAACCTCTCCAAGGGGAAGTTCTCTGTGTAAAAGATCACCATGTGTTGTAGCTATTCATGTAAATAGGTAAATTTTTTTCTTTAAAACATAAGTAAATAAATATTAATATTAACAATTCATAATGTTTTTAATCACAGCAAATTCTTCTTCTTGTTCAGGTGGCAATGTATAACAGTTAATGGCAATAATTCCACCCAGGAAGATTTTTTTTGCTCATTTGAATATTTGTGATAAATTATGATGTTGTCTTCAGCTATTTTTATTTTTGTATAGGCCTTTTTGATAGTCTTTTCTCTAAGTTCTCCAGTTTTTGTAGTTATTGTGGATGGTTAGTGGGCAAGGTTTTTTGTAGTTTGTTTGGATGGTTATTAGTGGTTAATTGTAATGTTTACAGTGAATTTTGATTTTAATTTTTACTATATTATATTAAGGTTGCATTTAATAAGCATATAAGTTTAGCTTATAGCTTATTTCATTAACTTAGAAGATTTCGTATTTAAATAAGTTTGGTTTGGTAGTATGAGCTTTGTTCGGGTAGTTTTTCGAACAAATCAATTGAAATTTTTATTTCAGTTAGTTTAACTAATTTTATCGAACACTTTTATTATATAATTTAAATTTTTAGTAATAAGTCATAAGTTATCAATTATAAGAATTAACTTAAGCTATTAGCTAATTTATTAATTAGCTTTACCAAATATAGCATAGGTTAATATCAACTATTGGCAAAACCATTGAAAGGCACTTTACAAAAATTGTTGAAATGCCAATTACCAAGTGAAATATGTATTAGGTAAAACCTTCAACTTAGTTGAAAGCAAAACCTATAATTTTCACAATTTTATGAAAGATTGATTTTACTAGTGTGGACACCTCCCAGAAAACTATTAGGCAAGGTCCCTACACTAGGGTTCAAGTTGTAATAAAACAAAATTAAAAGTATTTCACTATTATTTATTTTGATTGGTAATTTTTGTTATGAACTCGATACAATATGATGTTTAAAGTGTTATTGGACCATTGGTATCTCCATAATACCAACTTATATGGTATAATATTTAAAATATTAAGTAATACAAAATGTATTTTTGTTGTAAGAAAAATAATAGATCGATCCATCTAACAGTTAAACCAGTCTAAAACAATATTTTGATATTTTGGTCGGTTGTGCTTTTTGCTGAAGACATTGGAGAAGATCAGTAAGTACTAGTTAGACAAGTCCACTCAAGGTCACAGAGTCCATTTTTATCAGCAATACTAAAAGGTAGAACAAACATTTGCAATTTGCCTTTTGCACACCCCGTAAAGCTAACAAAATAATATTATAATTTTTTAA